AAGAAGACAATGGTGATGGAGGGAAGAGGCATGTGACAAGTTTTGAGAGTATCATTGATGATATCGTGAAAATGTTGGTGGCGACAATGAGCAAGAGGCAATGACGAGGAGAAGATATGAGCACAAGGAGATTTGACGAAATTGAATCATTTGAAATCAGAAAAAGGCGTTGTCCCGAGGGCCCCCTCGGGACAAAAGTGCCCGAGGGGGCCCTCGGGACGTTGTTATATAGCTAGGTCGCCATTACCCACTACGGAGACAAATCCCGCCGCCAGCGCAGGCTCATGCAGCAGGTGCTCTCCGTGAACAGCATCCGCGCATATTAGCCGCTCCTCGAGGAGGAGACGCAGGATCTCCTCAAGCGGCTCCTGCGCGACCCGTGTGGTCCTCTCCCGCACATGTGCACCCAAATATAGGCTGCAGTGTGAGTATGGACCAGCCGAACACAACGGGCGCGGCCCCAAAGGATACCTGCGTGTTGAGGCCTCCAATCGGCGCTTACATATGCGTAGGTCTTCGGTCCTATCACCTCATCATCGCCTCTCGCCTCGCTGCCGTCTCGCTTCGCTTCCCCGCTCTGCACACCCTTGACCCTCGTCCCGTCGCGAACCAGCCAATCCACCACCACTGCCTGCCGTCTCCCGTATGGCCGCGGCGTCGAGCAGGCCCTTGGGGGACACCGTGATTGCCTCTTGCCAGCTGAAGAGCGCGGCGCGCGCCTGCGCAGACAGCGCGAACCAGTCGTTCTGTACAGCGTGCAGCTGGCGCAGGAACGCGCCCGCACGGAGGTCGGGCAGGAGCGCCTGGCATGCAGAGAGCGCGCCCTGTGCGCGGGCGCGGGAGAATGGGATTCTACGCGGGCGCGAGGGCGAGAGGAGCGTCGAGCAGGAGGGATAGAGGAGCGTCGAGCAGGAGGGCGAGAGGAGCGTCGAGCGGGAGGGAGAGAGGAGCGTCGAGCAGGAGGGCGGCCGGCTGGGGGATGCGAGTCTGAGTGGTGAGGAGCTGGATTCCATGTAACCAGTATAATGTACAGCTATAAAATGAAATAATTGGGACATACCTTGAGTTGCGTTGGATGGTGTGAGAGAGTTCGCGCGCGGTCGATGTGGTTGTTGGACATTGGAAGTCTGTCGCTCAATCGAGCGAATAACCCTAAAACAAGGTCAGTGTGCGTATCCGGAAGTAGCGAGATTTCCTTACCGCTGCTCTCTGCTGACGTCTACCTGCAAAACATACTAGGCTTAAGTACGTACCTTAGTTAACATGCAGGACTCCAGTAACAACAAGCTTCCGGAGCACGCGCTGTCGATAGCAGGCGCTCCAGAAGGCGTGGATGTTCAGCCCGAGGGTGCGAGTGCGGACAACAGAGAACAGGGGGATACGGAGACGGTAACGGAGGTTGACGGCTGGCAGGTAAGTACTCACCTTGTAACAAAGGACTTACCTCATAATGAAACTGCGCGCAGGCCATCGGGAGGCCCGGAGGAGGGCAGCGCGCACTCGATGGGACGGACGTGACACGCCCGAACCGGGCAGCGCGAAAGTCCGCTAGGTGGGCGCGCGATGTCGCAGCGGGACTCGGTACGGAGCGCGGGGTGGCTGCGACTGGAAAACATCAGAGAAAAGTGGTAAGGACAAACAAATGAACTTACGGGTGAGATATTGACCTCTTGATAGGTTCCACGTCCCCGGATGAGGGGGCCGCCGTCAGTCGTGTCCACGACCGTGTCGGACGTCGTCGCGGACACCGAGACTGTGTCAGATGTCGTCGCGGACGCCGAGACCGCGTCAGACGTCGTCGCGGATGCCGGGTTAGATCAAAACAAGAAAAAAAGAAACAGAAGTGCTGCCAAAAGGTTAGTGGTGGCAACACAGCGCCGCGCAGAGGCAGCGCGCCATGCAGAGGCAGCGGCGCAGGTCGTGGACTTCGACGGCGCAGTCGACAACGTACCTACCGATCCGGTAAGCGATCGCGAAGTCGGAGCTTCCGCGCGTAGACGGCGCGCTCAGCAGTGGGTTGACGACGAGAGCGGAGACGAAGCTGCAGGAGTAGAGGGCGCGTTACTCGCGCGATCCTCGTTGACTTCGCTCGCGCGATCCTCACTGACTCCGCTCACGCGATCCTCGTTGACCCCGCTCGCGAGTAGTCCTCCCGCGTCGGATCCTCCTGTCGGCTCGCGTCGCGTTCTACGCAGTGCGTCGGTACGAACTGGGGTCATACGTGCGGAGAGAGATAGTGTGACGGGCTCACCTGTTCCTGTTCTCGGAAAGGTAAGTGTTTGCTTGTTGCCGCGATATCT